AGGAAATAAATCGAATTGGAAGAAGGAATTCCCGCCACAGCTTTGGCAGTGTCCACCATTTCGAGCATATCTCTCTCATACGAACTCCAAATCAGCTGATTTTGGCGGCATTGGAAAGCTAATTTCAAGGGCTACAACTCTGATTTACGCAACATTCCTAAATTCGGACTCCAACATGGCGAAAATCGAAGAACAAATCCTGGTGGAAAAAAGTGGCGGAAATAGATTCCTATTAGGTTTCTACTACTTCCTTATCAAGAAAAGCCTATAAAAGCAACAAGTCCCCACACCATAAGCACGAAATTTGACACCACAAAAAGCGAGGAACGAAGATCAACGAAGACTCAAGCATAGTTTTTCTTATTTAATTTATTTATTTTATTTTATTTATCATAAGAATTACGAGTAGCTAAGTCTTTATTTCTAGGATTTTATTTGGAACCCTATGTGGGATTTATGAACCCAATTCTATGATTTTATGCAAGTTTTAATTCCGGATTATTTCTTCTACTTGTTTTATTAAGTTCATGAAACTGGCCACTTTATGCGCTTTTATGTTATTGTTAATCGCATGAATCGGAAGATCGGGTTAATAATTAGAACTGTGGTAGAAGAGCCTTTGTGGTATTAACATAGGAATATAGTTAATCTCTTAGGTAGCCATTATTGAGATTTGTGCTTAATGCTGTGTTCTAGAATTAATTGCATAGGAATATAGTAATTGAATCTAGAATATTAGAATTGTAATACACGCGGAAGCGGGTTATGATTATTTTAGCATCTCAGGTTAATAATCCGGGTTAATTGCTTGCATAATTGAAGGAATTGGGGGAATAATAATCACATAGGGGGAAAAAAAAAATCCTAGGCTCGTTTACTCTGATAAATAGAATCCGTTTTAATTGCTTTCTTGTTTTTGTCTTTTTAATTGCTTTAGTTTAATTTCGCTTATTAATCATCTTTCGACTGTGTAGGGTGGGCTTGATAATAATTGGTAGAATTTAGCGTCTAGGATTAGATAATTAAATATTCCCTGTGGGTTCGATATCCGGACTTAATTGTCCACTATATTACTTGTACGATACGTGCACTTGCGTGTAGGTTTTCGACCAACAAGTTTTTGGCGCCGTTGCCGGGGAATATTTTAATTATTTATTTTATTCTAGCTCTAAATTTGAACAATTTTCACGATTCACCCAAATTATTTTTTATTTTTTCGTTTTAATATATTTTTTTTTTCTTTGGTTACATGTCAGGTTACAATTTTCGCGCAACTCAAACGGGATATGAATGGCTTCCGTCTGGCGAATACCTCCAAAATACCTATAATATGCCGTTGCTTTGTTCAATATGTGGTGGAGAACATTACGCTAACCAATGTTGGTATGCACCGAAGGCGAATAATTTCATAGATAATACCAACAGAGGTTACTGGAACACATACACCAACACGTACGAGCAGAGCAATTCAAGCCAAGATTTCCACAATTTTCAACATCGTGAGCCGCAATTTGATGATTTTCAAACCTATTATGCAAAGCCACGAGAACCCACTATTGAGGAGTGTTATAGGAAATCCATCCTTGAAGATTTTATGAAATCCACTCAAGCATCTATCCGAAGACTTGAAATAATGTTGGAAGAGATGAAGCTCAAGAGGTCTCTTGAAAATATTTCAGACAATATCGAGAATGGTTGCAACAAAGAAAATCCGTCTGAAACTTGTGATGAGAAAAATACTTTAGACCTAGAAAATAGTGTCGATGAGAGGGAAAAAGAAATTACGAAGACACTTGAAGATGATGAATCAGACAATGAAATCGAGCTCAACTCCAAAGATGTCTCGGAACAAGAGAAGAAGGAGATGGATGTGGTTAATGCAAATATTCAAATTGATGATCTTATTGTTATTCCTGACGTGGATTTGAAGGCATCAATAGAGGTTGATAAGAAGGCGAATGTGTTTGAAGTGGAGGTTATACGCGGACGTGAGGTTTTTGTTTACCGATTTAAGGGAGCGGGTGATGAAGATCCCTACTTGGCTTCGTACCGATTGATTACAACTAAGAAAGACTACAAGCTAAGGTGGACCCTGACATATTGCAATCCTATCCCTGTATCGGTTGCAATTGAAGTGACAAAGCTCATGGATGGGTGCGCAATCTACAAGGCTTTGGATTGGACATAGCGATTTCAAGAAGCAAAGTCTGGCTGAAGACTTTAAACTTAGCGCTTCTCGGGAGGCAACCCGAGCTTTATTGTTTTTCGTAGTTTTCGGTAAATTTTTTTTTTTCGGTTCGTTTTTTTTTGTCATAAGCAAGCATTCTAATTCACTATTTGAATTTTACTTTTCAGGGTCGAAAACGTGATCGAAGGTCGAGTCGGCCGTCCGGAAAAAATATTAATTTATTAATAATATATAAAAAAAAAAAAAAAAAATTGCACCACTGCCTGTGGGACGCACGTCCCACAAATAGGTGTAAATGTGGGACCCCCGTCCCACAACCAGAAAAAAAAAAAAAAAAAAAAAAATCGTTTTGCCTTCCCGCCAATTCTCATACCCCGATGACGACGATTCCGACTAAATCAGGTGTTTTCTATCCTTAAACTTTGTGCTAATTTCGTTGAGGGCAACGAAAATTTTAAGTTTGGGGGTGAAAAACATGTTATTTTTGTGCTTAATTGTTTTAGTTTGCATGCATTAGGTTTTATTCGTTTTTATTGTTTTTCTAGTTTTTCCGGATTAAAAAAAAAAAAAATTTTGCTTGAGTCGAATGCATCGATGATTTATGATGATGAGAGATGATCAATGTTGATGATGAAATTGCTTGTTTTGTGTGATAAGGATTTGATGTTTGTTTAGCTTTCGATTCAACGGGACTTAGAAGCGAATTATTGCTAGGAATCACATTTTGTGCTTTGCTTTTGTTGAATGTTTTGTATTTTAAATTTGGAATTAATTTGTGCTAGATCATGCTATGTTCGGTTTTAAGACTCACCTTAGGAAATTTATGATACGAAGTATTGAGTAGTGAGTGATTTGGGATATGATTTGGGCCTTCTTTGAACCGTTTGAGCCTTTCAAGCCGACCTTTTTATCGAAATTATCCTTAGAACCTTGATTTGAGCCTCGGAGAAAAGGTGTTCTTTCTTTTAGCCAATGTGTAAGGTAGAATAGGTGGAGATTCTTGAAAATTACCCCTTGGAGTTCGGTCGAAATTTTTTATAAGGTCCTTCTTCTTCTTCTTCAAAAAAAAAAAAAGAGAAAAAAAAAAGAAAAAAAAAAGAAGACAAATATATATGCCTCTATATATATATATATATATTAAAAAAAAAAATAAATAAATAAAAGAAAGAAAAAGAAAGAAAAGAGAAGAAGAAGAGACTAGAAGGGAGAAATAAGGGCTAGTTATTGAATTATTTTTGAAAACTCGATCCATTGCCTCAAAAGCAAAAGTGGAGACTTTTGAACTTTTAAGAATCGAGTTTATTAAAGTCCTTAAAGGTGAATTCATTATTTCAAACGCCTATCTTTCAAATTTTGGCGTAATCACCTAAATTCAAGAAGAATAGCCACACATACCCATATTTCCTACCTCGAACCAAAGAGCCTAACAATTGAAAGCCACAAAGCCCCAATGATCCCAATAGCTTAATTGTTCGATATTAGTAGAGTAGAATAATTTGGTGAGTATTTGGAGTCAAGCATACGCATGTAAGTATAAATTTTTTCTATCTTTAATTTGCAAATATTGGATGCTTGAAGCAATTGTATGAATTGTGGTTTTTGGTAATGGTGAGTGACTAAGTGTTGTTGAATTTTGAGCTTGCGAATGCCTAAGAATTTTCATTATAATTACAAGTTCTGAAAACGTGAAGTTGGTCATTAATCTATGTGATGAGATGCGGTAGTTGAGTTATTTGCTTACGATTAGATTTTGCTTGAGGACAAGCAAAAGTTCAAGTCTGGGGGTGTGTTGAGTGTAAATTTTACGCTCAATACGTTTACTTTACGTGGATCTTTTGTTTAGATTTAATTATATTTGTGCTTTTAATTGATTGATTTTGTGTTTTATCGGTGAAAACGATAATTAGGTGTCCATGAAGGAAAAAAGATCAAAAAGAAAGGAAAAAAATTGCAAATAAGGAAATAAATCGAATTGGAAGAAGGAATCCCGCCACAGCTTTGGCAGTGTCCACCATTTCGAGCATATCTCTCTCATACGAACTCCAAATCAGCTGATTTTGGCGGCATTGGAAAGCTAATTTCAAGGGCTACAACTCTTATTTACGCAACATTCCTAAATTCGGACTCCAACATGGCGAAAATCGAAGAACAAATCCTGGTGGAAAAAAGTGGCGGAAATAGATTCCTATTAGGTTTCTACTACTTCCTTATCAAGAAAAGCCTATAAAAGCAACAAGTCCCCACACCATAAGCACGAAATTTGACACCACAAAAAGCGAGGAACGAAGATCAACGAAGACTCAAGCATAGTTTTTCTTATTTAATTTATTTATTTTATTTTATTTATCATAAGAATTACGAGTAGCTAAGTCTTTATTTCTAGGATTTTATTTGGAACCCTATGTGGGATTTATGAACCCAATTCTATGATTTTATGCAAGTTTTAATTCCGGATTATTTCTTCTACTTGTTTTATTAAGTTCATGAAACTGGCCACTTTATGCGCTTTTATGTTATTGTTAATCGCATGAATCGGAAGATCGGGTTAATAATTAGAACTGTGGTAGAAGAGCCTTTGTGGTATTAACATAGGAATATAGTTAATCTCTTAGGTAGCCATTATTGAGATTTGTGCTTAATGCTGTGTTCTAGAATTAATTGCATAGGAATATAGTAATTGAATCTAGAATATTAGAATTGTAATACACGCGGAAGCGGGTTATGATTATTTTAGCATCTCAGGTTAATAATCCGGGTTAATTGCTTGCATAATTGAAGGAATTGGGGGAATAATAATCACATAGGGGGAAAAAAAAAATCCTAGGCTCGTTTACTCTGATAAATAGAATCCGTTTTAATTGCTTTCTTGTTTTTGTCTTTTTAATTGCTTTAGTTTAATTTCGCTTATTAATCATCTTTCGACTGTGTAGGGTGGGCTTGATAATAATTGGTAGAATTTAGCGTCTAGGATTAGATAATTAAATATTCCCTGTGGGTTCGATATCCGGACTTAATTGTCCACTATATTACTTGTACGATACGTGCACTTGCGTGTAGGTTTTCGACCAACAGCGGTCACAAAATTGCTATTCGCTGTTTATAAGTAAACCCCCAAAAACTTTTACAGGTATCAAAAAACCCCCCAAAACTGCAAATAGCCAAAAAAAAAAAATCGAAAATTCGAAATCAAGCTTGAAGAAGGGTTGGGCTTCGATTTTTTGATGTAATTTCGACTCTTTTATGTGTAATATGCATTGGGTAGGTCGATTACGGAACCAATTTCATGTTAAAAAGCCCTACAAATCGATTTGTAGGGCTTTTTTTTTCGCAAAAAAATTCGGGCTTTTGTACACGCCTTGGGCGCCCCCATCTTGGGCGTTCGAACATTTAAAAAAAAAAATATTTTTTTTTGCACTGGACGCCCAACTCGGGCGCCCAAATGCAGTTTGCACGCCCAACTTGGGCGTGCACGGCATGAATGGGCGCCCAAGTAGGGCTTTTACGCATTTTGAGGGGGTTTTTGGATTTTTTTGGGAAGTTTTGGGGTTTTAGTGAAATAAAGTGTTTTTGGGGGGTTTTGTTAGCAATTTTCAAACTGCAAAAAGCAATTCCCTTATAATTTCAATTAGTTTTTTTTTTTTTTTTTTGAGTAAATTCAAGTTCATTACATTGGAAAAATTCCAATTTCTTTCGAAGTAAAAAATAGATTCCAATTTCCTTCGAAAAACTCGAAATGCAAAAATTCCGTTAATTTATAATCTTTTGTTCCAAATTCGGATATAATGAAAATTTTCGCAATATTTTTCTATCTTTAAAAAAAGTTGCATGAAAATGCAAGAGAATTCAAAAGAACAAATGTGTGAACAATAAATTGAAACATAGATTTTCTAATAAGAATAAAAAAATGCAACATAAAATTTTTGATACCAATTAATATTTTCTAAGCTTTTAATTTACTTGGCCCTTCGATATTTATATTTTTCATATAAAATATAATATAAGTTATATTATGGAATTACAAAATATATTATATGTTTCGACAAACCATAGAAATATTCGAAACTAAAATCGAAATTTCCGGTAATATTATATACCATTCCAATCCCATTCCAAATAAATTCGGAAGAATCGAAAATCAGAACTTCAAAAATCGGAATGAAAAATACGGTTCCAAATTAGGATATTTTCAAATCGGAATTGCGCAATTCTTAAATTTCATTCCGATTTCCACCCCTACTTGGGTCAAAGACTTTTAATCAAGATTTATTATTTGAATTTGAAACGAAATTATTAAATAATAAATATCGATATTATCCTAAGATCCAATCAATTTTTTTCATAATCACTTTAGAAACTTAAAATTTAGGGGTCTTATGATATAGGTCCTTCATGACAAAACTAATTAGAACTAAATGACAAGCCAAATAAAACTTTTGTTTCACATTCTTTATTAAATTTATTCCAAAAATGCCCCTCCACACAAAAATTCGAATTTGTATTAAGTAAAATTCAAACAACATTTATCTTTTTATTATGCATTTAATATCTTCATTTTTTTCATATAATAATATATTTTATTTTATTTTTACCGACTTGTTCATCTTTATTTTTTGTATTTCACTCCAGTATTTTTTACATTATTATAAGTAACTTATTTTTTAACATTTTATTGAAAATCACGGAAAAGTAATTTTTCGATTTTTGTCAAATAATACAGCAGATTATAAAAAAATACTATGGTGTACTATGGTATACCATGGTACGCTATGTTATGGCATACTATGGTATACTACGGTATACTATGGTATACTATTCCGAACTCTATCATTCAACTATTCTCAGTCGCCGCCAAACCCTAACTTCCAACATCTTCCAGCCATTGTTAAATCATAGCATCCAACAAAATCCAGCCGCCGTCAAATCCTATCTGCAAAAACCTAGTCGTCCACCGTACCAACCCTAGCTGCCGACCAAATTAAACTCTAGCCGTCGACCAAATTAAACCCTAGCCGCCATAGCCGTCGACCAAATTAAACCCTAGACGCTATAGCCGTCGACCAAATTAAACCCTAGCCGCCAACCAAATTAAATCCTAGCCGTCGACCAAATTAAAACCTAGTCGCCATAGTCACCACCATCCGCCATAGATTTGACCTCCACCACCATAGTTGTCACCTCTTGCCTCCATCATCATCCCCTTATTGTCGCCGCGTCCACCACCATATTTTCATACAAGTGAACTGTAATTCAGCCCACAATTTTATTTTATAAAATTCTGATTTTTTTTTTCTTTCTTTCTGCATGCAAGTAATTAATTATCATCTATTTATCTTACCCCTCTTGTCCAAAGTGTTTATAAAACAAACTGAAATGCTATTCATAGAACAACTTTTACCAGTTTGCAGTGCGATCGACTTTATTTCATTTGTAACTTTTCTTCAAAAAATTCAACATCCTCTCAAACCCTATCCAAGGTCCTTCGAATTCCTGCGGATTAAACGAGCAATTCAACAACAATTTAAGGTAAAATTCGAACTCGAAATCGTTAACCCAATGTTTTATAGTAGTATATTAACAAATTTCGTCGAAAATCTATACGTTTTCAGTATTTTGAAAAAATTCGAAATTTTTCGGAAAAAAATTGTGTTTCGTGTAAGAACTCACGAAATTAAAGAGCTAATTTCGTGATTTTTTCCACGAAATTAGCTTAATTGTTTGTGTTCCTTACGTTTCGTGCAAAATCATACGAAACAAAAGCTTACATTTCGTGACATTTCTCATGAAATGTAAGCTTTTGTTTCGTATGATTTTGCACGAAACATATGTATTTTGGCAGTTTTACTGTTATTTCGTGGAAAACAATACGAAATTAGTGCTTGTATTTCGTGAACACAAACACGAAATGTAAGCATTAATTTTGTGTGTTTGTCCACAAAATAACTGCATTCATTTTTTTTATGATTTGTTTTATTTATTATTATTATTTAGACTGACGTTAATAGTGTTTTATTTAATAGATGGCAGGCAAAGGGAAATCAAAGGCAATTATGTGAGCAGTTCGCGAAGAGGCTGAACATCAAGAGCGCGAGCGCATGACTATGTCTACACGACGTAGGCGAGAGGCTGAGAGAGCTGCTGAAGCCAGATCATCGATTCCACATCCCGATATTGGGTCTTCTCGTGCTATGGAGGAGGAGGATGTGGACCCTGTTCACGAGACTAAGGTTGTAGCTCGTGGAGGTCGTGGAGGCCGGGGACGGGGTTGTGGAGGTCGTGGTGGTCGAGCTCATACTCGAGTCAATCCGGATGTGCTAGATGGTCCATTCCCCGGTGGCCCGCGGGATCCGTCTTTGATTTCGAGTTTCAAGTCGCACGTTGCGACATATATTTGGAGGGCAGAAGTAAGTTAATTACTTCTTTTAATTTTAATATTATAATTTTTGTATCTTATATTAAAATACTTTTATAAATTAATTAATATGTTTTCTAAATAAATGATTACAGGAACGTCCGGTTGGACGAGTTGAGTCCCGTATCAACTCCCTTAACCAATTCAACTACGAGAAGATAGCAGCTGCCCTAGAAGACATAGATGTATCCATAGACAAGCATTTTCTGCGGATGACCGGTTTGTATCCCCTAGCCCGATGTTATTTACCGGACCTAGATGCTCCACTGTTGTTTGCATTCGTGGAGCGGTGGCAGCCGGAGACGAACAACTTCCATATGCCGTGGGGAGAGATGACTATCACTATCCACGATGTCTAGTTGATTCTAGGTGCCAATGTGGAGGGACGGGTGGTCGCGCCTAGGTACGACGAGGTCATCGAGCGGACAAACTGCGTGTATTTGCTGTCCGAGGTATTAAACCTCGAGTTTGAGGAGATTGACGAGTCATGGAAGCATGGGGGCCCCACATGGAGGATGATACAGGGACAGTTGTTGATGCCCGATACGACCATGAGACGCCGAGTTCAGATATACCTGGTGTTTCTCCTCGAATCGATTTTATTCCCCGACAAGACATGTGATTGGGTGAAGCCGTGGTATATGCACGTGCTCGAGGATTCGGTGCTTGGTGAGGTCGGCACGTATTCGTGGGGTTCGGCCTGTTTGGTCAATCTATACAGGGAGTTGGGTACATGCAGCCCAGCACAGTCGAGGAGCTTGGCGGGTTGCACCACCCTTCTTCAGGTAAATTTTAATATATTGTGTACTTATTTTGTTCATTTTAATATATTTTAATAAATTTTAACATCTTTAAATAAAATATTGCAGTGCTGGATATACGAGTATTTCCCGAGATTCCAGCCGCCAGAGGAGAGCGAGCAGTACCGCGAGTTTCAGCCTCGATGCAAGAGGTGGAACGCGCTGCCAAAAGCGGGCACGCTCGAGCATATTCGAGGTTTACTTGACAATATGACAGCGGATGTTGTAAGTCTTTTATATTTATGTATTTATATTTTTTTAAATATGAATGTTTTGGTTTATGTTTGTAGTTTGTTTAAATATAAATTTTTCGGTTTATGTTTGTAGTTTGTTTAAATATGAATTTTTGATTTATGTATTTATATTGTTTTCTGTTTAGGTCGAGTGGCTACCGTATGGTCGAGATATACACGAGAGTATCCCTCGTACGTTGTATCATGGCACAATCCAGTACATGTGGATCGTAGAGCCGTATATGCCTGATCGTTGCGTCTGACAGTTCGGGTGGGTTCAGGATATTCCGCGCGGCTTGATTCCATCGATGGAGCCATGTTCACGCGGTCCCAAATGAGGTACATCGTACAAAGTTAACTACCCATTTCCGGGTGGGATGTGGGACATGGTCCAGCTCATTCCATTCGTGCCAGCGTATACAAGACGGCACGACAACGGGGGGAAGTCGACGAGCACTATATGGAGTGGTACACCGATCGGACTCATCTGAAGATCAACAACCCCGACGTAGGCCCGGCTCCAGTGCATCGAGAAAATATGAGGCCACCAGATCAGCCGGCTTATTACCAGATAGTACGTGCATTGTACCCGATCACCAGGACCATTGGACATGACTGGATGCAGCGGTTTGCCGATCTACGTGCCGATCTTGGAGATATTATGAAGCCCGCCGCCCGATATATTGGCATCAACCATGGCAACGACAACGACGATGACGACGATGACGACGACGATCATGAGGTGCAGCCGCCGAGGAGAGCGAGGCGGTAGTTTATCGATTTTTTTTGCCAGTTATGTATTTTTATGAACTATTTAATTTTAAAGTTTATTTTTATTATTATTATTAGGACTATGCATTTTTATTGTCATCAAGTGTTCGTGCTCTTTAGAACGGTGGCTTCAAAAATTTAAAATTTTTTTTTCGCAAATTGGCTAGATCTAATCCTAAACATGTGTTTTTACCTAAATTGTAGATAAAACTAATTAAAAGTAGTGGGATATTGAAAAATTACCGGAATCGAGCCTCGTTTGCTACGGATTCAAGTCGAATTTTTTTTCAAAATTCGATGTCTTGAGAAAGTTTGGAAGTAGGAGAGAGAATTTCAAAAAAATTAAATAAAAAAGATTATGCTTTATTCAGTAAAAGCCCCGGCAAATAGCAACACCCAAAAAATATCATGTCCTTTTTTTTTACTAAAAAAATGTCATATCATATCATTAAAGTTAAAGTTTTACTATTAAATGTATTAATAGAGGAGGTAAGTGTTAAATTCGATACTTCAAGGGTGCAAATTATATCTAACCCATAACTAAATGAGATATTCTAAGAAGTTTATGTAAATCTTTCAAACCTGGTAACAACTTCCTATATATTTCAGGATTATTACAATTTTCGTCCCTATATTGTATCATTGAAACGATTTTGGTTCCCAACATGTCAGGCCCACAAAATTAGTCCCTAAACTCACCACTTTTGGAAGATTTTGGTTCGGCCGTTAAATTGTATGGTTAAGTTGGACGGATTTGTCACATGCGACGCACGTGACGTCGTCCATTTGGCTGTTAGTTGTCCAGCTGGACCGTACCCAGTGTCAACTTGGCCGATGAAACGTGATGTGGAGCGACCCGTCGATCTCCTCCCCAATTTTTATTCTAAAATTCCTAAATTTCCATATCCCCAATGACCCGTAAATCCAATAATTCCCATTTTGATCCTTCAATTGAGGTGAA